GGACAGGGAAGATGGTTCAAATTGATGGGAAGATGGATGGAGCCAAATACAGGACCATTTTGGAAGGAAACCTGATGGAGTCTGCAAAAGACCTGAGACTGGGACGGAGATTTGTCTTCCAACAAGACAATGATCCAAAACATAAAGCAAAATCTACAATGGAATGGTTCACAAATAAACATATCCAGGTGTTAGAATGGCCAAGTCAAAGTCCAGACCTGAATCCAATCGAGAATCTTTGGAAAGAACTGAAAACTGCTGTTCACAAACGCTCTCTATCCAACCTCACTGAGCTCGAGCTGTTTTGCACGGAGGAATGGGCAAAAATTTCAGTCTCTTGATGTGCAAAACTGATAGAGACATACCCCAAGTGACTTACAGCTGTAATCGCAGCAAAAGGTGGCGCTACAAAGTATTAACTTAAGGGGGCTGAATAATTTTGCACGCCCAATTTTTCAGTTTTTTATTTGTTAAAAACGTTTGAAATATCCAATAAATTTCGTTCCACTTCATGATTGTGTCCCACTTGTTGTTGATTCTTCACAAAAAATTACAGTTTTATATCTTTATGTTTGAAGCCTGAAATGTGGCAAAAGGTCACAAAGTTCAAGGGGGCCGAATACTTTCGCAAGGCACTGTACACTGTACTTCTGTTAACCATCACCAAGCATATCCTCTGGGGCTGACTGCTCTACGCTCACACACTCCCTCACTCCCTTACGTTCCTGGTACTTTATTTTAGTACTACCTCCTGAGGGGTGCTGAAATGTAACTCCTGGACCTCAATTCCAATGCGGGCCTAGTGCAGTAGAAACAAATGCAGAACCTGTGACGAGCATTACCGTACTCTGCGTGACACGTTTCAGTAGGTTCCTATAATGGAAACACCTCCATGCAGAGCAAGAATGTCCAGATCACTGTTAACTGGCTACACAAACCATCTACCTTGCTATTAAATCCAGCATGTGAGTGATTAACAGTCTAACTCCAAAATAAGAATAAAGCTGAGCCAAAATGCTGCGTAACTGCCAGTTTTCATTTAAGCACAGTAGCAGAAATGCCCACATGGTGCAGCGATTTAGCTTAGTCCATTACTGCTGTTTGTTATCGAGAAGCCAGGGAATAACCTTGATGGTAATAGGCTTATGATATACACCCAGCTGGTAGTTTATTAGGTAACCTAGCTAAAACTAATCCAGTCTAAACAGTCCTGCAATATATCCTCCTTCATGAAGGTGATAATCTTCAGTGTTTGTCTGAAATGGTTTTAGAGAGGTGTTGGTTCAACAATATGGTTATTTAGGAGACTAGTTGGTGCTGGTGTTGAACTGTACTGATTTATCCAGAGGTGTTTTTTTATTTAGCCTCAATGATATAAATGGGGTAGAATATCAAATGAAAAACTGAAACCAGGCATAACCAGGTTTTATGGCTAATACAGCCAAATGTAATATCTGACAAACCAAAGTACTTCATTATACTGAAGTAGAAATCATAAAAATTAATTATTGCCAAAGGCAACCTTGTTCATTGATTTGCAACATTCTTATAATGGTCTGAACAGTATGGCAAAATCTCCAATGGTAAACAATCCTGAAAAAATTTACAAGACAAAGTTGATGTGGAAACACTAACTTCCTGACAGGACTTTATGCATCACATTCAAATCAAGAATGTTTCAGGAGGAACCCAACTGTTTTAAATGGTCATGTTTTATCTCTTTCATGTCTCTGAGATCTTGCTTTGTTATATGTGATTGTTGTAAATAATTTGTGTTGTCATGTAATTACTTGTGATTCTGATTTTACAATGCAAAAAAAAGACAATTGCAAAAGACATATTGAGAAAAACTAACCTGGATGCAAATAAGGGCCCATTTTCTGGAAATGTAAAATCCCCAAACCCAGTCAATGTTTTGATGTGGCAGTAATGTGTCCTGCATCTGTTCTCCACTATCTAAAAAGGTAAACTCTGTCTCATTTGGAAGCTTGGAGACATCTGTATTATTGTTTGCCTCGGGTTCATGGCAGAGTTCACCATGTACTCGCTGGCTGCTTAAAGGGGACAGTGTGCATGCACTATGTACACACTGAGCAGTGTTGAGTGCCGGTGTAGGCGTTGGGGGAGAGGACTTTGGGGTTGGGTTTTTTCCCCCCCTAACCCCGGGGCCCCCTTGTGGATTCACCAGTACATGAATGCAACACTAGGAATGTAAGGTGCCCCGACAAACATCCATAGCGTCTACCTGTTAAATATTGATTAACGCTTACAAAATGAATGTTGTCATTACACCACGGCCCAAAGAGGAAAAAGTGTAAACTGTTTTCATTACATTTCATATTTAAAAAAAACATCCGAGGTTACTTCTGTTTAGACTTGTCCAAGCAGACAACCTGTCACACTGGTTCTGACAAACATCTGCGACTGTAAACTGTACGACTCACTGACAGAGCTGTAACTGAATACAAGCATGTGGGAAATGGGAGGACGGCGAGCTTACAGACATGTTAAACTCTTTTGATGAAAATTAAAACAATATTTAGACGCAAAGTCAGTTAGAGTTAGCCTGCCCGTCGTTGAAGACTGTCGGCACGGCTAGCTAACTTAGCTAGTTCGCTAACGCTACTAACCTTGAATGTTGACCGTGTACTACTAGCTATTAGCGTCTGACCCACATTCCTGTGTGTGCCTTTAAATAACGTTAGCTGGCTTGCCAAGTTAGCTTACCTCTCCCAATACTGCTGCTGATTCAGAAGATTTGGGGGTTACGAGAATTTGCCAACAGGCTAAAATAATTAAGTAGCGAAGCCAGTCCAGAGTCCCGTCCAGGATCGATCGGCTGCTGACAAGTTGTTTGAATTCACCAGCAGGACGTAGCTAGCACCGCGAGCTAACGTCAGACAGCAAATAAACTTAAACCGATTCAGGCCTTCAATGGAGCAACCGAGTTGACACACACCAAAAAGAAAAGAAGACTATGGGGACACTTTTGTCGGCTACCGTATCACTTCCAGATAAGCATAGTTAACTGTAAATCCCTCCCCGACTCCCTCCTTGTTGTTCATAGCTTTGCTTCACTCCCCCCACCTCTCCTCCTCCTCTTCGTCACATGTCAGGACACACACACAGTAGATCCCGCAAACAACTCTCTGACCGAGGAGCCAAGGTCTACGTGCTATTTTAGAGTTTGTAAAAAAACAAAAAAACAAAACAAAACTCTCCAGCAAACCGACGTAATTGCGCCGAAGATCTATTTTTAAATGGATAAAATTATCATTTTCTTATCAGTTTACTTTCACTAACCCAGAATAACAATGTGAAAATAGATTTATTTAAAAAAATGGAAATTTCTCATTTACAAAAATATTCAGGTCCTTAACAAGCTTCGTTGGCGGTATTTACAGCTTCAAGTCATTTTTTTGTGAGTGTTGTTTTGTTTTGTTTTGTTTTTTGGATAAGAGTCTAAAATCTTTGCACACCTGGATTTGTGTAGTTTATCCCAGTCTTCCTGGCAGAGTTTCTCAAGGGCAGTCAGACTTGTCCTGAAGCTGCTACAGTGTTGTCTTGGCTGTGTGCTTTGAGTCATTGTCTTGCTAAATGATGAACCATCATCTCAGTCCTAGGTTATGTGCACTCCGCAGGTTTTCTTCATCATCCTCTCTGTATTTGAATGCATTCAACCTTCCTTCAGTTCTGACCAGTCACCCTGTCTGTGCTGTTGAGAAGCACTTCCATAGCATGATGCTGTAGGTATTATCCAGGTGATGAGCGGTGCTGGTGATCACCAGTCATAGTGCCTGTGTAAATAATTAAATGTTTGTCATTAGACCAGAGAGTAGTTTCCCTCAGGCAATCAGGTCCTTTAAAAGCCATTTGGCAAACACCACATGGGCTGTTTTATGACTTTTACTTGTTGTTATTGTTGTTGTTGTTGTGCTGTTTGGCAGGTTCTCCCATCTCTGCAATAGACTTCTGTAAGAGCGACTATTAGGTTCTTGGTCGCCTCTGTGGCCAAGGCCGTTCTTGCCCAGTTATCACTTTGGCCAGATGACCAATTCTAGAAGAACCCTGGAAGTTACAATCTTCTTCTGTTTCACAGTTATTAAGGCCACGGTGCTCCTGGGAAAACTTGAAGCTTTAAAAATGGTTTTATTGCACTGACATATGTTACACCACAAACATTTATCACAGAGATTGACAGAGAGGTCCTTGGACTTTATGGCTTGTTTTTTTGTCCTAACTAAAAGGTTTTCATATTCTCACTATGGATTATTGAATGTGGATTGATTGGCAAAATGGCAATTTCATCAATTTCAAATTAAATCTACAACATAAAATGCAAAAATTGAAGAGAGATGACTACTGCATATCATGCGTCCCTTGTCACATGTAAAAACAAGCAGGTTGTATAATGCTGCACATAACTGGGTATACATATACTATAAATAGCCATTTATTTTATGTATGTAATGTAACCTATTACATTTCAGTGTTTGTGTCAGCACTCTTTTGCACCTTGCACCACTTCTGTCTTTGGTTACTTCCAGGAAATATTTGAACTCTACTGTAAACACAATAGATATTGTGTGTTGTTGTCCCATTGGTGTTGCTGTATGTATAATCATATGTTTATGTTCACATACCTTTGTTCTGCTTTGTTGTCCTTGTTTTTCCTGTATGTTCATGCGTCTCTTCCTGAACACAGCTGTTGTTGTGTGCAGAAACCCTTAGCCAATATAACTGATGCTGCTTTTGAATTACTATATCTAAACATGCAATATTTACAGTACAGGGCAGTAGCACATATTCTGGGTCCAATACATGTTCAGTTCTTCTTCTTTTGTCATGCACCAAAGTGCCCAGCCCACATTAACTTGCAAGACATCACAAATACTGTTACTTCCATCAGGAAGAAAAATGTAAAAAAAATTACCATAATATCATCCTTATATATTCAGTGTTGGTGGGTCCTCTTATCCTTTTAATACATGCACTGTCACATCTGTACCAGCAGCTAAACAAGTGTAAATCTATGCAACTGTTGCAGTTATTAGAATTATCAATAATGAATGATGAAGAAATAGAACTTCTTTTACTTCATAACAAATTCATTTAAAAACTTCAAAAACCACCACTACTAAAGAAATTTAATGACTTGCTGTTGGCACCATTATTAAACCACAGTATCAATGGATGTGATAAGAATCTTTGTAGAAAATGACATTTTTAAAATTTTCAGAACTTCTTGGTTTTAATTGTTATGATAACATTGTTCTAAGCCAAAGTAAGTGCTAAGATCTGGAAATTCTGCAACCTTTACAAATAGGTCGAATGAGTAACAAACAGTTCTGCACTGTTACAGATCTTGAAGCTCCATATTGAAGAAAAGACTTTAGTTCGATGGGGGCCCAGCAGCTTATTTTTGCTATCAGACTTGTATGTATAAATGTAGTAAAATATGTCTGCATTCATAATTATATGTTTAGCTGTGCTGCTACTTTTTTTTTTTACTGTCAAATGTTTCTGCTAATTTGGGGCAGAGTGCGAGGTTGTGCAATCTGCACAGTTGATGGTATTTTGTTACTATGATTAAGCTTAAAACCCTATCATAAACCCAAGGTTTGTTGTTAAAATCACCCACACAGTGTATATAGCAACACATAAAAGTCTGTTAATACTATAAATGTATTTACTGAATCATCTTGGTGCTTCTGTTTGTATCTAAAACATTTTTTAAGTCCGTTTGAGTTAATATCAAGAAAAGTACTGTTGTTTTTTTCTTGAAGAAATTTAAAATAGTCCAAAAAGAAAAACAAGTGTTAATATTGGGACACAAAGAGCACAATGTGTGTTACAGATGATGAAAATAAATTCAACCTACATGCAGTTTGCATGGTTGGTCAGGGGATGTCTCTGTTTACTCAAATCAGCCGGCGATTTCATCCATGAGAGGCATCAGATTAGTCAGTCGTGACATATTTGAACTCTGCACAAATGAAGCAGACTGAAATTCAAATGAAAGCGGATGTGCAGTTTGTCAGTTCAGCGTTGCAGGCTTCAGCTTCCTTCATTGTGTTTCAAATTAATTTAGTTAGTTATAATGTTATTTATATCAGCTACTCATTGCATAATGAATTAATTCAGATTTCCTTGAAAGTGAAGATTAGGTGTTATTGAATTTCAGGTTGCTCATAATTTAACATAATAAAGATGCAGACAGAAATCTGGTTAAACCATTAATTTGCTGTTTTATTTACAATTATGTTAACTGACAGTAGAAACAGGAAGCTGAAGGAGGGTGTGTCCTCATGCCTATCTCTCTTTTTCCTGTGATACTCTGATACAGTGGCAAACGTTAATACCGAATTAACACTTCATATCAAAAAGCTGTTGCTTCCTGTGATAGTGATGTCAGAATTCAACACTTAATAAAAAGGGTAGTACTCTAAATTAAGTTTTCATATTGCTCACACATTAGTCAGTGCTTGGCCGTAGATCAGAATACTACAGTGACTACAAGTGACTCGGACAGCGTTTCCGATTGATGTTTTAGGGGATGTCCATGTCTCCGTTGGATGCATGAGAGTGGCGTTTCTCTAAATCACACCCAGCTCTGTTATCAACATTTTCTTTGCTCTCTTCATCCTGATCTTCTGATCCTGATTTCCTTCTGAGACGCAGCCCTGGATCTCTCTGTGATGGGATCTGGAAAGATGAGAAAGGGCTCCCCAATGATGGTCTCTTCTCTAAAAAAGGGAAGTGACATTAAAATGTCAGAAAATGAAGAGTCTGTTTGCTGGAGGCACATTAAACTAGATTTAGGTCTGTGTCACAGTAGTGTGAACAGTGGATCATTGGAACGTAGAAGCAGCACCATATAGTTACAGTGACTTGGCGGATATCTTCCAAAGTAAGAAGCTGAACTCAGTAGCAGTAAGTATTCTTGTGATATTTTAAATTAGTGACTTGTCAAAACACGTTTTACAAATGTTTTCACTGTCTCTCTCAAATACTGGGTCACTTTAATAATTAGGTACCTAGCTAACTAGCTAAATTACCTGAGCTATCTAAAACAACAGAGCACAGAATTAGTTTGCAAGGCTGTATAAGTCATTAAAAATAAAAATTGCTGATAAATCCTGCTGTTCCCTACAATAATTGATCTTAATCAACTGTTTGGAACTATTTGAAGCTCCATGACCTGCTGCAATTTTTGACCCCTCAATGTTTGTCAAATCTCCATCTCATCACACAGATAGGACACATACCGCCTGGTCCGATTGGTCGCATCAGTCTGTTCATCTGGACGTTCCAGTGTTTGACGTTGGTGCTCGCTTGGCGCAGTTTCCGCTGCGCAGCCTGTCAGAGAAAAAGAACCACTCTCTCAAAACGTCTGTTCCCTACAAACACCGACTACTTATAAAGACATTAGAAGATTTATCAGTCTATTGATTGTAACTAAGATAAAATTGCATTTGGAAGATACACTTTAGGCACAGAAACAAACAGCTGTTAGCATTACGACCTACTACAATATAGGAAAAATGCAGTTTTCATATTGAAGAAATAAAAAAAACATGATTAGGTTGTTATAGTGATATTATCATCACCAGACAATTAAAAGCAATTTCAGGAATAAGAAAACCTCTTTACAACTTTGAGTCTGGTTAGATTTTGTTTAACACATCTTTCCAAAATCTCCCATAAGTGTTCAGCTAGGTTAAGATCTGGTGACTGTGAAGGCCACAGCATACAGGGGTGGCTGTATGTGTGAATGGGCTTCCACAGTAAAGTGTTTTGAGTGTGCTTCCTTGCATAGAACGGTGCTATATAGCATAAGACCATTTACCATATGATTCATATCATTTTCATACTCATCAGACCGTTCAGTGACCCCTCCTCCCTATGGCTGGAGACATTGTAATCCTGGAAAAGCCAAGATTTTTCTTTAATTTGTCACTTGTCTGTGGTTATGAAGATTAGTTCGCTCTTATTTTACTGTGAAATCCAAGTTTTCCTTTTTTTTTTGTTGCTACTTTATCTTTTCTGCTTACCACCACATCCTGGTCAACCCTGTGGCGGTTGGCGCGGACCTCCTCCAGCTGCCTCTGTGCCTCCTCCAGGGCCCGTGACTTGGCTTCCATTTCTTGTTTGAGCTCCTGCTTTTCCCTCTGTGTCTTCAGGATGTACTCCTCCTGCTCCTCCTGCAGGGTCATCAGGGCCTTCATTTTCTCCTCCTCCTCTGCCAATAACCTGAAAATAGAACATTGACAATATTTTCTATAATTTACATAATGTTTTGGAGCATCAGGACAGCAAAGATGCACATGGCCTGATATAAGGTGTCGATTTATTTAGTTAAAGAGCCCATGATGTGCTTTTCCTTGTTTTCTGACTTATCAACAATGCTACAATGGTGAATTATCATCTTTGATGTCACCTAAAGCTCAAAAAATGAGGTGTACATACTGTATGTTCTAGTATTTCTATGCAGAAGCAACTCAGTTTATACACGTCTCACAAACTCTCACTCACGAGACTTTTTTTCTAACAAAACAAAGTCTTACATGATTGTTTAAGGATCTTCCTTGAATAGTCATAATCTCCAGGCAGTTGCGTGTTCATGTGAATTTTCCTGACATCCACTGGTGCCATTTTAAAAGTGGAATTTTTTTTTAATGCACCCAGTTTTGTGTATCTATTTTACCTCCTGCTGCTGCACTGTGACCAGAGGATGTGGAGAAAAATATAGGGCCTGAGGTTACTGCATGTCTGAATGTTCCTGTACAGAGACTCGCTGTTTTACCTGACCGGGTCTAACCTACAAGCAGCCGGCCAGTGAAGCCCCCTGGGGAGGTGAATGATCAGCTCATCAATGCTGGATTCACCCAAAGCACAGTACCTGTTTGTTTTGACAGCTTGAGGACAGTGTATTGTGGGTTGGCCAGAGATTTCTAACAATCTATGTATTGTTGGCATTACGCTACCTGTTGGAATTAGTTTCACTGCTTTGGGACTGTATGTGGTCGTGTGGGGGAAGACGCAGCGACCACCGGTTGGATTTATCGACCTTGCAGCTACTTGAAAGGGAGTGATGTTTCCACTACCCTGTGGGACTTAACGCTAAGTTTAAACAAACACACATTACATGTCTGTTAATGCCTTGTTTCTGTAGAGAATTGTTGCAAGGCTGGAGAAGTTATTATATCTGCATTATGTCAGTTAAAATATGGGGTTTCTCAATTACCCGCTTTGTTTAGAGTGTTACATATCTCTCATTGTGCGATCCACTTTTGACACAACATGGCATGAACTATCCTCTCGTTTTTAGGAGGCGGCTCTCTGGTTTTATCATTCTGAAATAATTGCTGTCATTTTTGAAGTTATGAGGGGCGCCAAGCTAATCTAGAGGCACCCAAGATTAAACATTAAATGGCTGGAACTGAACAAAATGTGCATGCCATGGGCTCTTGAAAACAGACACAATGACACAATAGATCTGACCATTTGATAAGTTCCCCTGTTACCAGTTCAACTTCCTCAGGAACATAACGCAACATGAATTTCTTTCAGCGGCTCAGGTTAATATCTGCTGTCTGCACACAAAAGCACTTTCCTACTTACAGACAGTTGTTTGAAGACTATAAACCTAAACAAATATCACTTTACTGTGCTGTGAAAGTGTCTAAAGGTTTCTGATCATATATTAGTGCTAGCTACACGTAACACTCTACCCTGTTTGGGTGTAGCGGAACTTCTCCTCATCCAGCCTGGCTTTGATCTCCTGCTGCAGCGCCTCCTCCAAACGCTTCTGCATCTCCTCCAGTTCCTGGATCCTCTTCCTCTGCCTCTCTGCTTCCTCCTCTTTCAGAGCCATCTCTGCCTGCATACTGACGCGGGCCTTGAGACATACACCAAGAACCATAAGACATATATTTCTGCTCTTCTATTTCAGCTCTCTTTTTCCTTCATTGCCTGCACACACACCTCCTCAGCCTCTCGCAGCTGGATCTCCAGGGCCTGCTGGAGCTGCTCATGCTGCTGGCGCCTCCTCTGCTCATCCTGCTCCAGAAGGGCTTGAGCCTGCTTTTGCGCCTCCTTCAGGAGCTCCAGCTCAGCCAGCTTACGCTCCCGTTCCTCCTGCAGGGCCTGCAGCCTCTGTAGCTCCTCCTCCTTGGCCTGTCGCCTCTTCTCCCGCTGGTCACGCTGTTCACGGCGCTTCATCTTCAAATCTTTGTGGAGGGACTTTTTCCCTTCCGTGTGCAGCCTGATAGCCATCTGAATGGCTGTGGGGGAGATCTTGTTTAATGTATTGATATGAAGATGAAGATTTAAAGATTGATCCATGACTTATCAGTGATCGGTTTGAGTGAATGTGAGTCTCCTCTGACCTGTAGTCCACTCCTGTCTCTGTTTGGTGTCTGAGGCACTCATTTCATAAGTCTTGGAGAGGGTTTTTAGACAAAACATGCACCTTTTCCCATCCCGGTCTGGCAGCACCTGCTCAACAGGGAAAACGCTCACTGCATCAATAAACATCCCTTCATTGTGCATTTCTTTTTACATTTGTTGTGACCATTTCTTAAATATACAGTGGTGAGGATAAAAAAAAAAGGTGAACTCACTGGGAAAAAGATGTTTTTGATCCATTTTGAACGACCAAACAATATTTGATCATCGTCTACTTCCTATAATAAAGCATGACTTTAGAATGATGTTTTGCTTTAGAGTAATACATGGTGCAACGTGTAGTGCTTTTTCTGAAAAACTAACAGAACCTGTCAAACTGTTTGTTTGTCAGTACTCAGTGTGGTACTGTGTGGCATCGGTGGGCTAAGAACAGATTCAGTGTTCACTTCAAAAGCACCAAAACAGCACAGGTAATAATCCCTACACTCCAGCTCTACTGCAGGCTTCATATTCAAACTGGCTCCTTCGTGAGTATGAAGGTGGCAGATTACTCTTCACTTCAGTTCAACTGAGCTCTGTGAAGAAATCTGAAGCCTGACTGTGAATGTGAAACAGGGTAACCTTCAGTTTCAAACCACTGTGTTTTTGATAAACTTGATGGTTCCCAACCTTTCTGGGTCATCAAGCAGCATCATTAATTAGTGACATGTCATGTGTCACTATTTTATAGCACCCACAATCACACATGCTGCATCTTAACAGAAAGTAAAATGTACAAAAAAAGTGTTCTGTAATGTGACAGCTCTTAGTTCAAGAGAAGTATTTGGTAATGTTTTAAAGTTTAAATTGAAGTACCTCAAGTCTGTGTGCACTTTTAGTTATTTATGTCAAAATAAATTGTAACAGTTCAGTAGTGTTAGATTACTTTGAGGGGTAGTGGTTAGCACTGTCACCTCACAGCAGGAAGGCGCCTTTCTGTGTGGAGTCTGCATGTTCTCCCCATGCCTGCGTAAGTGCAACTATCCAACGCCATGCAGGTTATGTTAATGTAAAATATAATGTTGTGACCTTTTCAATCATTTTCGTTTTAGTTTTCATTTTTATCATTTGAAACTCCTCCTGAGTTGTGTTTTATTTGATTTTTTTTTTTTTTGAAGTCCTGAAAAAGTAATATTTTCCAATACTTCGCAAGCCAGATGAGAGGAACAAGATGAGGAAAGTCTTAAAGTCTTAAAGTGCTGTTCTGTGGCTCTTCCAGTTTCATCTCGTAACACCTTGGGGGAGTCCCCACTCTCAGGTTGGGAACCACAGTCATAAAGGGTGTTGTGACGGATTGTTACTAAAAGCCACAGTTCCATCCAGTGTATGATCTCCTCCAGCTGCTTACCTCCACACAGCAATTTCCATCCAGAGCTATGTTGCCCTGACACTCCTTGCGGTCCTCCCCGGAGTAGTAGGACAAGTTGCTCGGCCTTAAAGTGAACCAGCGTTCCTTCCAGTTTCTCCTCAGCTGGCCTTTCTTCCAGAGATAACCCTGCATGCACCCAAACCAACACACACACAGTGTCACTGACACAAAGAAGAGCATGTTGGGGACCAGAATACAAACTCCAGGTGGCAGACAGGATTCCTACCTCTTTGAGAACATCACCAACTATCTCCCTGTAGACCTCCTCTATAGCCATACTGATGATGCTCTTATCATTTCCTCTGGTGAGCTTCCCTGAGTTCATCATCTCCAGAAAAACCCAAACAGTAATCCCACTCTGTTGCACTGACTCTTGAGAAAAGAAGTCCTCTAATTCAACACAGTTGAACTCAATACTCATAGCCATACATATCTTCTTGAGGAGGTACTCCACCTGAAAGTGAAAAGAAGCCAAATGTTCTGAGGGTGAGAATTTTTGATACATTAAATTTATTTGTGTTTTCTGCATCACATTCAAAGGAGGAACTAAAATAGTATTTCTTTTACCTTAATCAAGTACCTTCTGTGTACTTTTGGGAGACCTTTTAACCATTTAACACTGACATTTCCATAAAAGTTTTTTTCTACACTAAATGGTTTGTTGGCTGACAAACAGGTCTTACTTGATTTGTGCATTTTATTTAGTAATTTCCAGCTCTTTTCTTAAATTGCCTCCTTAAAGATTACACCCAACAATGCTGTCCTTCTCTTTACAGTAACTTTTATTTATGCCATTTCCTAATTAAACCTACTTTAATCACAGTATTTATGACACTATTGGAAATACTGACATCCATTATCATGAACCGGACGAAGATTTTGACCCTGAAAAAAACTTTTTTAAGAACTCTGAAAATAACTGCAAGTATTACATGGATGAGCAGTTTAACAGCAATGTCAAAACTGAAAACAAATTATCACTAATTCACTTCAATAGCAGAAGTTTATACGCAAACTTTCAGAGTATAAAACATTATCTTAGTAGTCTAAACCATTCTTTTAATATAATTGCTATTTCTGAAACTTGGATTAACACTGTAAGGGGAATGGATTTTGACCTTGATGGCTATGACTTGGTATGCACAAACAGAGAGAATAAGATGGGAGGTGGTGTGGCCTTGTACATAGATAAAAACATTTGTTATAATAGAGTGGAGAAAATGTCAAGGGTGGTGGATAATTTGCTGGAGTGTGTGACTGTAGAAATACT